TTCAGTATAGTATACAATAAATGACAGGAGATTTGGGGCTAGGGATGAGGTTCAAGCGGTAACACGCTCACCTGGCATGCGCCGGGCGCTGGGTTCGATCCTCAGCACCACATAAAAAGTAAAATGAAGATGTTGTGTCCACCAAAAACTGAAAAATAAATATTAAAAAATTCTCTCTCTCTCTCTCTCTCTCTCTCTTTAAAAAAATGACAGGAGATTTGTAACACTTTATTATATAATAGGCTTTGTGTTGGAAGATCGTGCCCAACTATAGGTTAGTTAATGTAAGTGTTCTGAGTACACTGAAGTTTCGTTCAGCTAAGCTATTCAGTAGGTGAAAAATTTTTTTTAGTTGTTGATGGACCTTTATTTTATTTATTCATATGTGGTGCTGAGAGTTGAACCCAGGGCCTCACACATGCTAGGCAAGTGCTCTACCATTGAGCTATATCCCCAGGCCTTGAATGCATTTTTTATTTATGATATTTTCAACTTACACTGGGTTTTTCAGGCTATAATATTGTGCTATGTCAAGAAACATCTACATAGAAAATGTAAAAACGTATTACCCATGGTTATTTCTGGATACTGATTGCTATTTTTTGCTTCTTTCAATTTAAATGTAGCTCTTGATTTTTCTACTATAGTTGGAGATTCCTTGAATTATTTATTGATTAATTTATTTTTTCAGATGGGGTTCTCACTATGTTGGCCAAGCTAGCTTTGATCTCCTAGGCTTAAATGATCCTCCTGCCTCAGCCTTCTGAGTAGCTGGAACCACAGGCAGGCATCACCATGCCTGCAGGGCTCCTTAAATAATTGTTTTAAAAATTAAAGGTTAATTTTTTTTTTCTGATATACATGGCTTGGTATCACAGGATTAGAAGGAGATAAAGAAAGTCCATTAAAATTTGGTTTTAATTTAGGAATTAAAAAAGAAAAATGCAGTATCTTATCTAAAACCTATGATGAAATCTCTATTTGCCTAATCCAAGGATAGCAACATGGTTCTCTCACTAGGCCACAAAGAAGGGGCCAAGGACCTGGCCTTGGCTTCTGACACAGCTGGCAACATGAGCACAGATCTGCCCAGGCCCAGGTCAGCACAGACTGATGGAAACTGCTAGGTGGCAGGCCAGGCCAGGACCCAGAGGGGATCCTTGGGGAAAGCACGTGCTGGTTC